CACCATCAAGTTGTTCCAAACCTGTATGAATTTATTTATTCTGCTGAAAAACAAAAGAAGATGTTTTGAAGAATATGGGTAACCAAGCATTTGATGGGCCCCATTGACTTCCATAGTATGGGAAAAAAATACTATGGAAGTCAATGGACCCCATCAACTGTTTTGGTTACAGACATTATGACAGAATTTAAATTTTTGGGTGAACTATCCCTTTAACCTCATATATCTATTGTTAATTTTTCCATCAACATGAAATGTGGATATAAATACACATTTCACGCTGATGGAAAATGTTTAACATTTTTGAAAAATCCAAGTATGTATAATATATATTCATTTCTATCAGCATCAATTTAATGATTTAATTATCATAATCATCATGCTTTTTTTGCATGTTGCTTTTGTTGTTGACGAAAACACAACCAAACAAAAAATAATCTTTGTTATCAAACATTTTCATCTGTGACTTTAGTAAAGATGAGATTGCAACCGTTTGGAAGCACATATGAACTGGCCACTGAGCAATAGAGGGCCGGCAGTCTGTTGATATAATATAACCAGCAGAATGGAGTTTGCTTAGGGCCTTTTTTACATTGAGCAGGGTTGTCTTGAGGCAAAGAGGATGTGACAGGGTGCATTAACTTGATCTGTCCCTGTTCTGAAGGATTAAATGGCTATCCTTATACATTAGCCTTGAGCTAAATGGCCATCAACCCGCTCACATATTGTTCAGTCCTCACGGTCAGTGTTACACACGCACATGGACTCTACGCCCGGTAACCGTTCATGGTTTGTTTCTCGACGAATTAAAAAAGAAACAGCTTTCCACACTGTAAATCGACCGTGCCGTGCGAGCGGTAAGACCCTCTCAGATGCTGAGGGGGGCGACCACATCGATCCCTTTCCCTCTGCTCAGCGAAAACAGGGAGATACAAATCTAAATTGAAGTCCAGGGTGATTTACAAAAGGGGAAAAGAAAATGAATCACTGCAGATGTCAGGGCGAACACAGAGTTATAATTCAATTACCTACATGTGGAATGACATTTGATTTAATCTGAACTATTAATGCCAGTGAGGTCAAGCCAAAAGAAAGGGCACTTGTCTAGTTAGTCGCAATTAGAGTGTAAATCTCAAATGTCTCTAAGGCGGGGGAAAATGTCATTTGCAGAATAACTGGCTAATAACGTGGTTCCCCTCACCTTTGAGTAACCAGGCGGCGCTGAGTGAATCTAAATCATGCAAGACTAACAGTAGAGTCATTCGAGAAATTTGTCCGCCTTTTGTCATGGTTGGATAAGAATTAGTGGGAGCACTCGATGAGTCGGTACAGAGCGCCGAGCACCCACTAATCCTTGTGAACAAACACTGGGAATTAGGAATCTTGGCAAGGGCTTAGGGAGATGCTATATGCACATTGTCATGTTGTTCCCTTTTCGCCTAATCATCCGTGTCATTTCAGGCGTCTTAAAGTGGCAGATCGCTTATAACATCTCAGGTTATATTAAGATTTTGTTGTGGATGATGCGCTGCAGCTAAATTACATCACCATATCAACCTATAAAATCCCAGAGGATGTTTGGATAAGTATGTATTATATATGCAGTTCGATTGGTTATTGATTTTGCAGCCGCATGCTCCGCAAAGCAGGACACGCATTAGACGGCTTTTATCTGCATGCATCAGACTCCATCAGGCACGCTTGTACTGCCACCTCAAAAGGGCCCCATGCATGTTATTGTCTTCTATTTTAAGTAACTGCCCACTGGGTGGTGCAGAGAATGAAATGAGTAGAAGTTTGAAGTCGTCGGTCTCCTACAGCGCTGACAGCGCGGGTGTGACTGATATTGTGAATTTAGTTGTCTCTCCAGAAAAAACTCTTCTCCCCCTGCACACTCAACATACCCCCAAATGTCAGATCTGTTATGATGTTATGGCAGTTTTCTCCACCAGGGTGAAATACCCTGCAAATTGTGACAACTTCTTTCACCTTAGTTAGTTAGTTAGTTAGTTAGTTAGTTAGTTAGATATAATCGGCTGTAAACTAACAGATCTGGACAGTGTTTGCTTCTTTTCTTTTTTTTTTGCGTTTATTCATCTCATAAATTATGCATGATTAGATTCATGGCATCCCGAGTTAGTCATCTAGTCTTGTTATTGCCATCTTCTCTACTGGTTGGTGTTGTAAATGACTTCAAGTAGTCAGAAATTGGAATTCAATTCAGCCAGTGATGTTGTCCTTGTCCTTTTGGGTACATTTTTGGTCACCATGAGGAAAACAGCTTATAAGTCATACTAAGTGATGTTTTTTTGAAAATGTAAAAATGCAGATAGTTTTCTGTGATGGGTAGGTTTAGGGGTAGGGGTAGTATAAAAATCATTATGTCTATGGAAAGTCACCATAAAACATCTGCACACAGCAAGTGTCCTGTTCACAAAGCAACTTACAGTAGCGTCTCAAATACTGTCTGTATGAACGAGCCACAAGAGTCAAGCTTGTATTCTCTTAACAGTAACCAGTGACAGTGACCAAAGTAATACCAAAGATGGCGATGTCCATAAAACTAAAGTCTTATCACATTTGACAAGACAAGAGTCCAATTAAGCCCAGAGTTAATCTTTTAAGACAGAAGCTTCAATGTAACAAGTGCTAGCCGGACGCCTTTAACCACTGCATTCGTGTCTCACGTCCTGTCTAGCATCTCGATCTTGACACGGCATTAGAGTCGCGCCAATCTTTGGTCACGCATAAAACATAAAACTGACGGGAGCCACTCGGTGGAAAACAGTAACTGGATCTAGAACCTTCAGATCATATCTCTGTCGCTGTGAGTTACTGGAAGCAAAACCACACACAAAATCCATTAGCATAGCGGCTCTCTCACACTGTCTGACATGACAGACAACTAGTTGTCCACTGCGGTTCCGTTCACACAGCGCAGGTTTTCCGAGAATGCGGTTGTGAGTTCTGAACATTTATAGAAAGCGGTTGTCACTCCTGTAAATAACCATACTGTGTGTGAACATAACTATATTAAAGGTTTACTACACCCCAAAATTTTATTTCTGTCATTAATTACTCACCCTCATGTCATTCAAAACCTGTAAGACCTTCGTTCATCTTCGGAACACACATTAAGATATTTTTGATGAAATCCGAGAGCTATCTGACCTCCCTATAGACAGCGACACCATTACCACTTTCAAGGCACGGAAAGGTAGTAAATGCATCGTCCATGTGACTAGAGTGGTTCAACCTTAATGTTATGAAGCGACGAGAATGCTTTTTGTGCGCAAAAAAACAAACAAAAATAATGACTTTATTCAACAATTTCTTCTCTTCAATGTCAGTCTCATATGCTGTTTACATTGTAAACAGAGTGCAGCGCTTCCAGGTTCTACGCCAGAACGCCGGCTTATTATTGGCTCGCTCCAGGGTCAGCAGCACATGCATGCGTTGTGGTGCTCACATGTGAACAGCATCGTCCAATAATGAGCCGGCGTTCTCATGTAGAACCCGGAAGTGCTGCCCTGTGTTTTCTACTAACTAACCCTTTAAGGACTCAAATACAGGACTGACAACTGTATTGTGCTGCTTTGTGAATGTTGTGGCCTAACTGTGGTTCATTCCTTTTTAACCCAATACTGAAGTTTCGGTGTGAAATACTACTCTTTTTTTTTTTTTTTTTTGCATGTAATTTTCTTTGTAACGTATTTGAGAAAGTTTCATTTTTCATATCTCCTCAGTCTGATATCATACTTGGATATTACTTAAAAGAATACATGACCACAATCCCTAATATATAGAAGATATAAATTCTCTCAAAAATGGTAGATTCCCTCAACGTGAATAACAATGGTTCCACTGCACTGCAAATCTCTAGTATCTTTTCTTTGATGTTCCTCTCTGTAAATCCCATCATTAGGCATTGATTCATGCCATGAATCATAGTGACAATACGCAGCCACATCCACCCTCTCTTAAGACTGGGAGGCGTTTTGACAGTGCATACAAAGGGAGAGATGGAGGTCATTCTCACTCATCCTGAACACAGCACAATACTCGCTGATGCGTTCACAATCTATTCCAGAAATAAAGCAACAAGACAAACTGAAAGCCACTGTTATGTGCCCCCTGTGAGGGCAAGTAGCAAAGCTGTCAGTCAGTGAGGCGGTTAGAGATTCAGCCTTATGGTTTTCACAGGGCTGAAAGGGGGCTTTATAGACAACACTGGGTAAGAAGAGCACCAGGAAATTGCTCTGTGAAAAGCGATAGTACAATGACGCCTGGCACTTATGAAATCAATGCACATGCAGTACAAAATTTATGTAAATATGATTTAAATCAATTACAGTAGTACAGACCCCATAGCTTTCACACATACTGATTTACCCAAGGGCTTGCATAGTTTGTTTATTGTTTAATTGTTGTTTTTTAATGACAAAATATATATTCAGACTCATAATTCAAAGGTACAGATAGTGTACAAGGAATGTTTCACAATACATCTAAGCTCTTATGTGTCTTATTATGAAGTATGATAGTCTCTAATCGTAAACATGAATAAACATGATCTTATTTGCGTTAATGAAGTGTGAAGCATGAGTGTACTAATGATTTGAAAAAATGAATAACACATTGTTTAAAATGACAATTCAAGTAGTCATTTAGCTGAATACAGTAGGAGATACTAGATTACAATCCTTCACTGCATTATTAATGTCATTTTATTTTTTATTCACCATGTATTATTTATGCAGAAACAGATGGGACTTGTTTAAAATGTTAGATTAAATAAATAGTTTATCCAAAAATGATTATAAATAAATCATTATTTACTCACCCTCAGAAGCAATCACATTTGATGAGATGCATTGAAAAGTGTCAACGTTAATTTAAAAGCAAGTGAGGAGAGCAGTGAATAATGACTTAAACTTGACAGATTTGAGCACTATTTGCATTTCATGAAAAAAATCTGTGAAGATTCCACAAAAAATAACTGCAAATAGGTTTTGAAATAAAATAATGCCAACATTTTATTTTTTCTTGGGTGAACTATCTCTTTAACAGCACCAATCATAAGTCAAGGCCTGCTATCAAAATCATTTTCATCTGTATAAATGGAGGTTAAAGACTTCATTCTCAATGCATTCATGTTCATCAGTTTAAGCACTAGTATGTTAAGCACTCCATTGTGCAGGTCATAAAGGAAATGGGCAGGACTAGGCTTCAGTAATGATTGGAGTTGTTTAGTCCATCTGTTCTGAATCCCTCTGGGTGGCTGTTGATTGTAGGGTGAACAAGAGTACTGAAGAAAATGTGATGAAATAAGGCCATGAGTGACGGCTTGATTGACTGTAATCAGTCCCAGGTTGAGCCTTCCACCTCCTGTTGTCGTCGCCTCATGATCTCCTGTAGCTCTGTATCTCCACGACCCCTCTGAGAGAAAGAAAGACTTTCAAGCTCCATTTTGCACTGCATTTGAACGTTTAATCTGCACAAATTCAGATTAACATAAGTGATATTGCTCTGTGACAGACCTCTAATTGAGCTTTCTGCACACTGAGCTGACTGAAGACACGGGAACCCTCGTCCCCGCACACGGCTTTCAGCTCATCCTTACTGAGAGAAAATAGTTGAGCCCCGTTCAGAATACCCAGACATTCCACCACCCTGGAATATTAGAGAGAATATTACATCAAATGCATCATGTTTTTTAAAGGAGTCATATCACGAGGAATCTAATTTTATTTGATCTTTTGAGATAAATTGCTACATTTACTATGAAAATATACTTGGGCAAATTACTAAACAGTTGCACAACCTATTTGTTACAGTTTCCAGGCACTAAATGAGCTGAAATAGTGGCTTGAATATTGAAATTAAGTCACCGTGTTTCTTATCAGCACAAACCCGCCTTCTTTTTTATGTAAATTAGACTCATTAAAGACAGCACTTTATTCAAAATGACTATTTGCCAGTCATAGTTTACGTTAAAGCCGTGGTAGAAGTATATTTTTATTTAAAATAGATGTTTGCCAGATTTTATACCCCCCTATAACATTCTCAATAAGATTTGATTTGTATAATATTTAATAATTTTTGTTTACATATTATTATGTGTATTTACAGTATATCTTTATCATAGTCTCCCTGGAGCAACCTGAGGGTAAGTACCTTACTCAAGGTTACATGGTTCATCACTTACGGGGTTTGAACTTGCAACCTCAGTTAACAGCCCATACGTTTAACCACTAGGTTACAAAACCATTAAATCATCTGAAGTGTCACATGTCGCAGCTCACGTGTCACTCACGGTCTGGAGAATCCCTTTGCGTTGAGCCAAGCATTGACCTCAAAGGGCTGGGATTCATACGTGATGGGCACGGATGAACTTGAGCGCTCCACCCGAAAGTTTCGAGCTGGTGGCTGGGCCTTGTTGTCAGTTATCCTCTTCAGCAGTTCATCATTTACCTCCTTCTGTTGGTTGCGATCTGGAGAGATAGGCAGAAGAAGCGAGAGATAGAGAAACAAGCACTGGGACAGAGACACAGTGAATAAGATTGCCCTAGACAGGAGCAATGAGCTCTGGTGGGAACCTGCAATCTATGTACATAAGAGCACTCTCACACCAAATTCATTTCCCACTTCTCTGAATTTGTTTTTTTTGGCAGACTCTGCCCACTCTCCATCTCACAGCGAATACAGCAAGCAGATAAGAGGTACGTACTATCTTTATCCCGGGAGGATTTATTCATCTCCAAAACCTCTGCGTGATTTACAGGGCCAGCAGAGGTACCTTTGTAAGGATTCACAGCCTGTAGAGATGGGGAAAACAGAGGGGCAGAAAAAGAAAGAGTCAATCCCTGGCATGTAAAGTAGGAGAATGTGTGCACTTTCCACGTATAAGGTACAAAAAAAGTATTTTTCAATTTTTCCCCAAGTGATCGGTAAAAGGAAGTGCTTAACCTTCAGGAAATGGTCTGATATATTATATTAACCTATTTCTATTTATTTTCTATGACGTGTGCAATTTTTTCAACCCTGTTAACACATTTTATGACTTATACAGTTTAAAGCTTCAATGTAATATTCTCAACGTAAACATAAAACTTAAATAAATGTATTAAATAAAAATGTTATGAAATATAATATAAAATATAAATATACAAAAAAAACAGGACAAGCCAAATTCACCTGACGTCAGTTCGTCTAACTTATTTATTAGTTTTCACATTAACACTTTACAATAAAGTTTCTTTTGTTAGCATTAGTTAACTACATTAGTTAACATGAACAATACCTTGCAGCATTAAATTATCTTAATGTTCCCTTTCAAGGGAACTACCGCTGCGTCGATTGACGCTAAGGGAACGCTTCGCGTGATGACGTATTGAAGCACATGTAAAATCAGTCCAATGGTGTGACGGAACGTCAGAGGCGGGTGACGTCATTAAACCAGGAAACTATAAAGCCTGCCCAAAACAGAGCCGCACTAGCTTCTGTGTCTTCAGTAGCGCTCATTGTGAAGCTGTCCTTGTCATATTTGGTGTTGTTTTGTCTTTATATCTGATATATATATATATATATATATATATATATATATATATAAGTCATGGCGAGCAAGCAGCAGTTCAGGATGTGTGTGCACCCCTGCCTGCGTTTTTTAACGGGTGGGGACACACACATTCTTTGTGTAGCTTGTTTGGGTGAGGAGCATGCACAGGCAACACTCGAGGGTGCTGGCTGTGAGCATTGTGATGTGCTTCCAATGCGGACACTCCGATACCGCCTGCCGTTCTTTAGCGAGAACGCTCAGGCTCGAGTTCCCCATGGCTCTGGTCCCACTGCTGCCGAGGCACAGCGGTGATCACAGACATGGGGTTCGCAAATGGATCAATCAGCGGGGTTAGAGACGGGCAAAGCCTTATCTCTGCCTTCACCTGATAGATCCAGTGCCTTCTCTCAGGGTTTTGAAGCACGCGCTGCGGTTCCTTCCGCCCCGATTGAGGCACAGACACTGCAACTGTCTAGTTCTGAGGAACTGGAAGTTGTCAGTGTCGATGCAAGAGATTCTGAGGATTTGCCACCTCAGTCTCATGTATTTGAAGAGCTGGTTGAGGTTGTGACAAGAGCGGTTGAAAGACTGAGTATTGACTGGCCAGCAGATAAACAGGACGTTCGTTTCAAAAGTAAACTGGACGAACGCTTCCTACCATCACAGTCACAACCTCAACGGCGGGGCTACCGTTTCTCCCAGATCTCCACACCAAGGTGTCGAGATCGTGGGAGAAACCGGCTTCATATAGAGTGTATAGTGCACAAACATCCAGTTATTCCTCTATATCTAACTATAAAGAGCACATTTATGGGGAGATGCCAAAAATGGAAGAGACGCTTGCGAGCTATCTCTCCCCCGAAGCGGCATCTTCCCTAAAAGCTCCGGCATTACCCACTAAGCCAGTCAGAACCACATCATCTAGTGGGTAAAGCTTATTCAGCCGCTGGTCAGGCTGCAGCATGCCTTCACACAATGTCGCTGCTGCAGGCCTACCAAGCTGAATTTTTAGGAGACATGGATGAGGGTGGGGGAATTGGCCCTCAGATTTATCTCGGACCACAGATTTATCTCTCAGGGCCACCAAGGAGACGGCTAAGTCCATCGGCCACTCTATGGCAGCCCTGGTAGCCACTGAGAGGCATCTTTGGCTCAATCTGAGTAATATAAAAGAAAAGGACAAGAAATGTCTTATGGATGCGCCCCTGTCACCTTCTGGCCTCTTCGTCAACGCTGTAAATTCAGTCGTCGAGAGGTTCCAGGAGGCAACCAAGCAGGCGGCTGCTTTCCAGAAGCTCCTCCCCCGTCGCTCTCATGTCTCCGGGGCTGCTGAGCGGGAGCAGCCCCAAACTTCAAAAGCCAGCTCTTCATATCATGCCACCCAGAAGCAGACTGTTGCCTCCCGTGCTCCCCCACAGAAAGGCTGGGGACAGGGAGGGCGCTCTCACCCGCAGTCCTCGAACGGTAAGACAGATCTGAGGACCGTCATTATCTCTAAGAAGGCTGCGGGGAAGAGGTCCTGATGTCCGAGGGCTCAGGCCAATGAGGGCAGTCCCCCCTGAAGCGGAGCGGTCAACACCTCATTATACGGTGCCCATCTCCCTTCGGTGCCCTCAGGGGACCGTCCTGCCAACCCTGCCACCGCGTGCTTCAGGGCGCAGTGGTCTCCGGCGAGCACATATCTCAAGGACCACCCGGAAACGTTGTGGCCTTGGGATGCACGCCCCCTCCGAGGAGGGCTCCAGAGCAGTCATTTCAGTCATTTCAGTCGTTCCCTGCCGGTTCGCCGTTACAGGGTGTCAGGCTGATTGCACAACAAAAACCAGAAGCCAGTCTCGAGAGGCTGGTGCCACTAGTAGAATTTTTTGCAGCGTGGAAGCTACTGCCAAACGTTTCTCGTTGGGTCCTGCACCCCATAGAAAAAGGGTATCAAATACAGTTCTGGTCTCGCCTGCCCAGGTTTATGGGGGTCCTATCCACCGTGGTGGGCCCCTAGCAGGTTCTGGTAATGGAACAAGTGGAAACCCTGTTGGAGAAAGGGGCCATAGTATATGTACCTCCCTCCAACAGGGAAACAGGATTCTACTGCCGGTATTTCATAGTTCCAAAGAAGGATGGGGGGTTGCGTCCCATTTTGGATCTTCGAGTGCTAAACGAGTCTGTCATGCAACTAAAGTTCAAAATGTTAACACTGAGACAAATCGTGCACAGATCAGATCCGAGGACTGGTTTGTCACAATAGATCTCAAGGATGCGCACTTCCATATATCCATCCTTCCATATGGATGCTCTGGCACCTCTGCGCCTGCAGGGTATTTGCATCATGAACTACATTTACGATTGGTTGATTCTGGTTCAGTCGCATCAGTTGACGGTTCGGCATCGAGATGTCGTTCTCGCCCACATAAAAGAGTTGGAGTTACGGCTAAACGCCAAAAAGGCTTTCTCCGCTACAGAGGACCACTTTTCTAGGCGTGGTGTGGGACTCAATGTTGATGCAGGCACGCCTGTCACCGGCACGCATAGAGTCTATCCTTTCAGCTGTGAAAAGGATAAAGCTAGGCCAGTCACTCACTGTCAAACAGTCTCAGAGGCTGTTGGGTCTGATGGCTGCAGCATCCAATGTGATACCTTTTGGACTGGTGTACATGAGACCCCTGCAGTGGTGGCTCAGGACCAAAGGGTTTTCCCAGAGCCTTTTGCATGATCAGGGTTACGCGGCGATGCTTACGTGATAGCGAGGAGGAACAAAGCTTTTAGGGTCAGGAACTTAGCCGGTGGCTAACTTACTCCTTCAGTGGCTCGAAGGGAGCCAGGGAAAGGTCTTGAAGGACAATGGCCAGATCCCATGTCTGCACCCTGGTATGTGCTGCAGGCCTCAAGCTTTATAGTTTCCTGGTTCATGACGTCACCCGCCTCTGATGACACCATTGGACTGATTTTACATGTGCTTCAATACGTCATCGCGCGAAGCGTTCCCTTAGCGTCAATCAACGCAGCGTCTTGTTCCCTCTTCAGGGAACCGAGGTTACAGTCATAACCGTGGCGTTAATGTAAGCATTTAATAATACATTCTTAAAATCAAAATATCTGTTTAACATTAGTTAATGAACCATGAACAAACAATGAACAATAGTATTTTTATTAACTAACATTAAATAAAAAAAAAATTGTAAAACACATATTGCTCACTGATAGTTCATGTTAGCTAATGTATTAACTAATGTTAACAAATGATACCTTATTGTAAAGTATTACCGTTTTCACTACAAAAAAAAAAGGCATTTGGGCCTCTAATGCTTAAACAAAAAGTTAAAAGACATATTCATGAAATGTGCCTTGTAGAATTCAAATTATAAACCAGAATGGTGGGTGAACATTTTGACAGTGAAGTAGCTTAGACTGCAAGCTAACCTGGCTGTTGAAGAGAGCAGCACGGTTGTACTGTGGCTCTCCTGGTTTGACCTCTTCTAGTACATTACACGGCACGTAGCCTGACTGACCGCTGCGGTTCCTCAGCAGCCACCACTGTTTATTGTTTTCCAAGGTCTAGAAGAACATGAGAGTCTAGTATTAGTAATTGCATGACTGTACATGGATCAATATTTTTTTCTGTGACAAATCTATTTTTGAGACTGTTCATCGTTCATTCAACATGTTGTCTAATTTTGGCTAAAAGGTTGTGTCATACTCTGTCCCATTGATGCATCCTCTATTGGGATCCTAGAATTAAATCCCAGTGATACCAGGCTCAGGCCGGGCATGTCTAGAAACACGATTATCCGTGTTTCCAGATGGATTAGCCAATCGGGGGTAATCCCTCTTGATCACTTCAGTAGTTCTCATGTAAATAGAGTTCCTCAGGGTTGGATGCTGTTCTGAGGGAAACTGCAGACATCTGAAAGTGACAGGTTGAAAGGACGCCTTCCTACATGCTGGATTGTTGTGGGTATTGTGCATTTGCAAGGGTTTACCTGTGTTCCTATTATGTGCAGTTGCATAAGGTCTCATTTTATGCATTATAAAGTAGGCAAAACTAGATTCATGTGTCTTTGGGCCCTATCATACACCTGGCGCAATGCAGCGGCACAATTTTTTTTTTGCTAGTTTCAGCCTGACGCAGTTATCATTTTCACGTCCTGCACCTTGTTGTTTAAATAGCAAATGCATTTGCGCTCATTTGTGCGCCTATGGGCATGCTGGCAGAGGTGTAAAGTCCAGGGGTCAGATATTAAAAGTCTTGCCATATGTTTATTCCACTATGAAAATAGTGGAATAATCCAGGTGATTGGAACAAAATACTGAGGAGGACTTTTACTTTCTGAACCTGGACTTTACACCTCATGCTGGTCTAAAAACGAGGTGTGTTCAGGCGCATTGTTGGCGCGTTGCTATTTTGAGGCAACTGAAATAGACTGCACCATTGACCAACTGAAACCTGGTCTTAAGTCAATGGCACAGTATATATTTTTTGTTATTTAAAGAGCGCGTTAGTAATGTGTGCCTATAGGCGGGTGCACAACGCGCGTACACTCTGTTTATTACACACAAAGGGACACGCAGCAGCACACAAACATGTCAAATATTAAAAATAAAAGGATTACAATGTAAAATAGTAATATTGTGTACATAAAGGTATTGTGGAATCCGGCTTGTCCCATAGATGGTCTGCTTGCGCGCTTTAACCTCGCGCACGAGTAGATCTGTTTGCGCTCTGGAGACGCGTTCAGTCTTTCCGCTTGCAAATTCCGCCATGTAAATAGCAAGTCCGCCATGGTGCGAGCGCAACTGGCTTTTAAAGGGAATAGGAAATTACACTCTGATTTTACGCCCAAAACACACCCATTACTTTTTAAGAGAATAGGGACAACCCATGTGCCTGGTTCGCCGACCATTTTTCCCGTCGTTAAACTAGCAAAAGTGGATTCAGACACACCCTAAGTGCACTTGCGCCGTGCGCTTTAGACCATGCGCTTAGATCGTTAAAATAGGGCCCTATATGTTATAGGTATGTTATGTTCAATCCATTTTTCCTCAGGTTTCCCATAAACTTTTTTTTTTTATCATTTATGTTCAAACATCGGCCTACAGTCTTCTAGACGTTGAGCTCTGCATGAGCTGTAGTCGTGTTTTCTCTCCTTCTATACTCCCACACGCTGTACCTCAGACCTATTCTGCCCTGTTCCCCATCCTCCTCCACCTCCTCACAGAGGGTCATCCGTACCTCCAGCACCTCGCCCTGCTGCACGGAGAGCTCGTTGGCATTGCGCGCCACAAAGTGATAACGGATCCTGACATGTTGGAGATCGCTGTTAGACCTGTGCGGTAGAAATAGCAACACAGCACAATACTTGGAATTTCATTCATTGGTGAGGCTACAGCTGACTGCAGTTAGTTAACACTTGACAGTATTTCTGAAAGTTGGATTTAGTATTTTTAGCCTTAGATGTGTTAATGTGGTCTCTGCACCTCCTCATTTTGCTTTTGTTGTAGATACTTAAACGTCAACATGAAGCCCGGTTTGCAACCCATTCTACTTCTGTAATATGGACTGTTCAAAGTGAAACTAGGTATTCAATGTGAAAAAAAGTATGAATTTTATCCATCTGCAATTGATTGGATAAAAAGTAGGTATTTTATACCAGAATGGAGCCAGATTTGTGATAGTGTGATAAAGCATAGCTGTTTGACTGTTGGTTAACATTATCAGTAACACTTAAATTTGAAGGTCCTTTTTTCTATTTAGTATAATTAATATTGTACCTACATGTCAACTAACTCTTAATATTGGAGTATTGGTGGGAGGGTTAGGGTTAGTAGAACAAGTTGGCATGTACTTGCAAAGTTACTTATAGTCAGTAGAATGTCTAAAGGGGACCATCACAATAAAGTCTTAGCAGAAATTAAGCAGACAACATACTAATACTCTACTAATACTCTAATGAGAGTAAGTTGACATGTAGTTGCAATGTTACTTATAGTCAACCTAATGTCTAAAGGGGACCATTGAAATAAAGTGTTACTAAATTATCTAATAGCCCGCACAACCTGTCAGTGATAACGTACATGTCGTAGTTTAAAGGGAAGATTTATTTAACTTATTTAACTTATTAAACTTATTTGGAAAACCGTGCAGCAATGAATTGTTCAAAATAAGGCAATGCAAAAAGAAAGTAAACAGGGTCGATTTGGGTTTCATGTTGACTTTCAAGGAACTCCAGCAGACCAAACAACTTTGTCTAGAGGCCAGTCCATGAACAAACAACTCATTATAACTAACAAGCCAGCATAACAAGCTACTTTGAAAATCATTGTTTTTCCCCCCTTTAAATCTGTTAGAAATAAAGCAAACTTTTTGTTTTAATGATATGTTGACAAATTCTGCCACTTTTATTAAAGTAGCAAAATCCTCACAAAGCATCTATTTGGACAGAACATATGTTATCTCAACAGGGTGCATTTTACTATGAAAAGTATTGTTTCTTACCTTATAAATCTACTTTATGACAAAAACAAGCTATAAAACACTCAAGAACACTACACGATGAACACATACATGCAGAAACCGGTCTATTATAATGGACAACTTACGACTCAAACATCCTTTTTCAGAAGAGCCTGCGGTTGCTTTGCTGCAAGCGTGCCGTGAGCCGCTGCACCCTCCGCCAAGGTGGAAAGTAACTTGACGTGCTGCAGCCTGCACATGTGGTGTAGCTCATGCATATTTCAGTGGGCCTGCACAGAGCATGGAGAACTTTAAACTGAACGTACTGGTCCCCATGCATCATTAATGTGCTGGCCTACCTCTCTCCTCCTCGCCCAGTGATAGAGCGTTGAGGATAACCGCAGTGGCCCAGTGTCCAGCCTGTGCCAAGACCTTCTTTCTTGAAGCCCATAAATAAATAAACATGCTGAACGCTGGAAACTGGCACTCCACTACACAACAGGCAGATTTGTTTTCGTCTGCAATCGCAATTTGTTTTACACGCTCCAGATAACTGACCATATATTTTAACTGTCTAATAATTGTAGCCATTCAGCATGTCACTCTTAATAAATTGCCTCAGTAAAAATGTAATTATCAACTTTATATATTTATATAGGCCTACTTCTAAAACAACAGTATAATAAATTATCTTTATACAAATTATTAAAGGTTGAAAACCATAATCCATGGCGGTTTAGATGCAGACTTTACAGCCTGCATACTTAAAAATGGCATTTCAAGTTTTGTCCATTCTAGGGAACACCATCAGAAGGTAAATATGGCAAAGAAATATACATAGAAATATTCAGGTTCACATGTTGTCAGTGTGACAGTATTTGTGACATACTGTTGATTACCACAAAAAATAAAATAAACTTTCAGCTGTAAAGTTGTTTAAATGACCGTTTTTACACTTAAAATATGTTAACCCGGCCTCATACTGTTTTTCCATAATAAGTCCCTTACTGTAATAGATTTTTGCTTCTTCTTTTTTTAAGAAAAGGTTGAAAATAATTGTTGCTGCAAGGCACGTTTATTTATATAGCACATTTCACACACTATGGTAATTCAAAGTGCTTTACACAGAAATTAATTAAAATGATCACAAAATAAAAGTAAGGAAAATTAAAACATATGAAAGGAATTAAAAGAGATATAAAGATGATACAGTTATAAAAGGAATTAAAAGAGTAATAAAGATGATACATAGATACAGTTATAAAAGGAATTAAAAGAGTAATAAAGATGATACAGATAAACTTTCATCTGGCAAAACACCGGTGTGTCATATTTTTCACAGCTGCTTGTTTTACTGTGAGATTTTCCAATGTTGATTGTACTGTGTCTGTGGTGTTTTTTCAGCTCGCCTAAGTTACCTGTAATCAACATTATGCCACCAATGCTGTCAATTGGGCTTAACTTGTACTAAATCTGTAATATTCCTTTACATTCTACTACCTTTTGAGATGACATGTTGACTGACAGTCTACCAGAAAAGCACTATCAGTAGGCTACATCAAGCATTTTCTGTAGCACAGAACAGTACACATCATAGCCTGAAGAATCGGTAACCTTTTCTGAAATCCTTAGTTGTCGACCCAGTCTGTGACCTGTAATAGTATAATAACGTTGGAAGATGTTATCAGCCCAGAGCCGGTCGTGGGAGGACCCTGTTTTCACCTACAATTGGATAACACAAACATGATGACACCATGCTTAGAACATGGACTGGTGTTTCTATTGGTGATGTGTTTGGTTTATTCTGCAGGCTCAGTGTAATCCTTTGCCAAAAGCGTCTACTCCCACAAATCCATGTTCATCTTGCTGTATAGCCTGAATGCCAAACATGTGAATCCATTTTCTCGTTTGAAATGCATTTATATCTTTTTTTTCTGAATGCATATCTCATCTGTTTGATAGTGTTAATCAAGTGTTGTTGCTAGCAATTTGTCTCATTTTGTGTGGATTTGAGCATGTGCAGTACTTTTCTAGAGGGTTTATTTCAGAGAAATAAGTGATTGGTTATATTCTAGTAAACAACTTTCTATTTACTTTTGCTTTTATGTCATCAAACAAATGAACAATGGTGTTTACCACCTTTGCTAAACTGTCTTTCTTGTACAACATACGCAGTTATTAAAATGGCATCTAATTAGAGGCATTGAGCAGGCGTTTTACATAAGATTAATTGCATTTTTGAGAGCACTTTTTCTTCATTATTATTCTGCCGTGCAAATGGATTCACTGCAACTGTAATGCATATTCATTTTCAGGAAGCTTGGAAATTGTGGGAAATTAGCCAAAGGTGGATCTGGGCTGCTGTGAGGGTACAAGCAGAATGTGTAATACAGGAGCTCTGCTTCTGCTCCCTGAAGTCTGGGCCTCCTTAACTTCCATCCTGAACTATGGTGGGATTTGCCTCAAGACAGAGCCAGTGCAGGTTGTTATTCTGGGTTATTTAAAGGGGACTTATCTTGAAAAAGAATATTTCCTTGCTCTTATGAAGAGTTAAGACCTATAACAGCATGCGTTCATGGGTTCTCTCTTTTTTCATCAATCAATTAGAGAACAACCTTCCAACATTTCAAAACTCTTTAAGCATATTTCATACAATATTTTAAAAATATTCTGAAGCACAGTATAAAAAACTTGTGAGACATTTGAAAAAGAACTATTAAAATTGGAGAACACTTTCGGATACCCCTGCTGAACAATAGAGCATAAACCAGCATGAATTCCATGAAATATTGTAGTCAATAGTGATAGCATGCACTTTTTTCAACAATTGCTGAAAGATAATTAACTCAACCAAATTCGAGAGCCAAGTGCCTAACTAAAAGTCACATAATAAAACATTAACTCACCATTATGGAAGGAGAGTGGACCAAGATCACAACAGAGAAATGTGAGAATCATCTAGATTACGTAACCCCGGTTCCCTTCCGAGGGAACTCCACGCTGCGTTGAATGAAGCTATGGGGACACGTCCCGCAGTACCCCGTGTTACATTCGCCGCCACCAGTGGAGGGGCGCCTAATACTGTCCAGTTGGCAACCAACCTCAGCTCTTTTGGGCTTTTTTTTCTGCGAATTCCCGAAAGTCCACAGGGCAAAACAGGGGCATCGAGGATGGTCTTGTCACACTCTTAGACGACAAACTGAGCAGGCTGCCTGCTTGGTGGCCCGGAGGGCTATAGATCTGTGGCCATACGCAGCTCTGCTTCAATGGAATAACGGTAGCCTTTAATGATGAGGATGTCCCTGAGGAGAGATAGGTCGCTGAGATCCCTTCAACCCAAGGCATGTTCCCATTCCCCTCTGCGTTTGAATAACTCGAGGCTGTATTCGTCACCCAAGCAGAATATAGGTGTCTCCAAGAGCCTGCCACCTTAGTGTGCATATCCGAGAGAAAAGGAAGGCTGACTGGATCTGGACACTTATGACCTCATAGGTATCGCTCATCCAAACGGCCACCTGCGATCTCGTGGTTCAGGTTGCGCAAGTCATAAGGTCCAAAAGCTCATCATACGCAGGGCCAGCCCGTTCTCATCCCAAGGCGTCATTTACTGACGCTTTTGCCAAAGCGTCTATATCCAACGCACATGGCACCCTTTAGCGTCAATATGAGACGCAGATATATGGCGCCTCCTAGTGGTCTAACCCTAACACTACCCCAGACCTAAACCTAGCCATAACCGAAGCGTGTTATATTGACGCTAAAGGGTGCCATGTGCGTCGGATGTAGACGCTTTGGCAAAAGCGTCAGTATATGACGCCTTGGGATGAGAATGTGTTGGCAGGGCTTTGCTGTGTGGAGCATTTTTGAAACACGTCGAACTCCCTCGAGGGTTGAACGTGGGTGCTCCGCTCCTAAGCAAATCACACAGAGCTTGTGTTCGTCGCCAGGCTTTATAAAACCCAGGCACTGTTTGAATTGCCCTTTACTCGCAATTATATTCTTTTTCTTTTCCCAATTTTTGTTATATCTCCGTTTAACATGCTGTTTTTTTTTTCTTTTTCTCACACGGTAAGCGGCTTCCTGAAGACAAAGAAGCTAAGGACGTGTTTGAAGGCGCCCTCTTAATACACTTGGGCACACCTTGTGACGTCATCACACTGCATTGGGTAATGGCTTAGTTTTAAGTTTTGATGGCTTAGCGGTTGAAAATAAATAAATACAAAATGTCTTAACAAAAAAATAAATTAAATTCATGTTTTTAATACGTCTATTCATTAAAATTAGTTTGAAACATGAAAGCAAGAAGCCTGAGCCACAATTTCATTTATTTATTACTATAGTTAAGAGTTCTTTACGTTAAGCGTTTTAGATAGTCAATGCGCAACACTCTAGTCACGTGACCCCCCCGCCCTCCCCCTCCCCCCAGCCCCCCAGCTCCCCCGCTCAAAATACATCCCCGCAGCTATGGCTGTAACCCTTAAAATTTTTACTTGTAATCTTTTTTCGTGCTACAATGGTTACTGTTCTCTAATTTTGATCACTGTTTTTTCCTCAAAATAAAGGTTTTTAAAAACTAACAATGAGCTGTTGTATTTTTGTTAAGTAATGTTTAAAAAATACTGTAACAAATGTTATTTAATACATTTAATAATGGGTCCTTATTCTAAAGTGTTACCATTATATATAATAAAAAATATATAAAATATCCTGCTTAATTCTAATAATCATGGTTAAAATTGGTCGCATAAAACGACACTTTCTAAGAAAACTTGACTAACATTGAAGGTAAACTAAAAAAATTAAATGCTACAAGAGTCAAGAAAATGGCAACTTGAAGGATATGAACATGTACAATATAAAAGAACAATGAAATGAGAGCTAGAGAGGAAGAATCATAAAGAAAAGAGTGAATGTATTGTGTGCATGAGAGTGTCTAAATACAACAAGCGGTTATCTCCACCTTCCAATTCCTTTCTGTTATCATCAATAATGAAAGAACCTTTGCTTTTACAGCTATCTGATTCAATATTCGGTTGTGCTCACAATAGAACAGGCCATTGTTCTTCTATTCCACCATGTGGAAGAGCAGTTCTGAAAGGCTGTAAGACTATGCACCAAATTGATTCTTAGAGCAACCGGGGAACATGTGCTGCGTGTGCTAAACATCAGAGAGATGCCAAGTGTGAGCTCTTCCTCTGGTTTGAAACTCTCCTGAAAGTTTACCTTTGTTAAGTAAGA